GAAAATTCTGAGTTGGAGACGTGGATTTGGGAGCTAGCATACGACGTCAGTTAAAGCCGTATGAATAAGTGGAGAGTTTGAAGAGGAGAGGTTCTCAGTGAAGCTCTAGGAAATGATCCAGGTCAGGCCCAAAGCACGTCGTAAGAAAAGAGCTGTGGGGGCGTCATCTCGGTGGCCTTTGGGGCTTGGCACAAAAACAGCCTCACAGACATTTGTGGGGTGAGCAGAGGCCCCTTAACTTGAGGCATGTATGAGTATCTGTGTCTCCCGGGACACAGCTAACGTGAGAGAGAAAAGGACCCACAACTTCCCCAGCTGTCAGCCCCACCACAGAGGGTGTGGGAAGGAAGAAGGCTCAGACTCACAGGCAGTCCGGCCCCTCCTCCCCCAGACGATCCAGAGCAGGGCTTCAATAGGTGGCAGCAAGTCCCCAAGGTGGATGGAGCCCCGGGAGCCACCTCTGATGAGTTCTACCCTTGGGTCCTAGTGTAGCGGTTAAGAGCATAGACTCCAGAACATCCTCTCTGGGTTCGAATCCGAGCTCTCTCACTTACTAGTGGGGAACTTTGGGCAAGTTACTTAATCTCTCTGTGCTTCAGTTTCTATCTATCTCAGAGAATTAGTATGGAGATTAAATAGGTAAATACTTATGAAGGGCTTTACTATGTACCTGGTACATAGTAAATGCTATATAAATTTTATATTAAAAGGAAACAATTTGGCTCTGGCTGAGTAGCTTAGTTGGGTAGAGCATCATCCTGATACGCCAAGGTTGTGGGTTCAATCTCCAGTCAGGGCACATACAAGAATCAACCAGTGAATGCATAAATAAATGGAACAACAAATCAATGTTTCTCGTTCTCTCTCCCAAATCAATAAATAAAAATTTAAGAAGGGATCAACTCATTCACTTATGAATAGTTATTGATCAGCTACTATGTGCCAGGCATGGTTGTAGGTGCTTGGGACACAGCAGTGAATAACGCAGGTGAAAATCCTGTCCTCATGGAGTTTACATTCCGGTAGGTGGAGAGGAGGGGTACAGACAAACAATATATAAAATAAATAAGCCAAATAGATGGCGTGTCAGGTCCGAGTGGAGGCATGAGAGATTCGCAGGAGTTAGCAAGGCCACTAGCCTAGGGCCTGGTGCACAGTGGGGTCAGGAGATGGAAAGGCGGGGAGACCCTGGACAAGCAGCAGAGTGGGATCCCTGGCGGAGACCCTGGGCTGCTGACACCCTCAGAGTAACAATCATCATCATACGGTCATGTAATAGCAGCAAACACTTACATAGCACAGTACCCGGCGCTGTTCTGTTCACTTCACTTACATCACTTTATTTCATCCTTACAGCAGCCCTCTGAAGTTGGTACTATTATTGTTCCCATTTTTCAAATGAGTAAACTGAGGCATAGAAAGGTTAAGCACCTTGCCTTATAGAATTGTACAGAAGGTGAACGAGCTGGGGTTCTGAGCCAGGTCATCTAGCTCCAGTGTTTGTAGGATGGACCTACAGGGGGAAGGACAGGGCAGGTTACCAAGCCTCAGGATCAGGTAGGGCCTGACCTTTATACGAATGAAAAAAAATTTGCATACATCACCAATACCCACACATCCGAGACCCAATATACTTATATACACTTCTAGGCTACTCAAAGGGCCTGAGTAGTAAAGGACCATCCGCAGAGCCATTCTCTCTAGATGGCCCCTGCTCCCCGTCCTTCCACATACCACTCCTCATGCCTTTGAACCAGCCTCCTGGGGCCTTAAGTCACCATCCCAAAGCTCCCTGATCCTACTCAGAGACCACAAATAAAATGGTGAATATCATCATCCTGGGCAATTTAACAAAGGCAGCAACAACTCCAAATCACAGCTGAGGGAGGACCAGGAAAGCAAGTCACCTAAAGGCTGAGGAGCAGCCCTAGCTGGTTTTCTCAGTGGTTAGAGCATTGCCCTGCAGACCGCAGGGTCATGGGTTCAATTCCCGGTCAAGGGCAACATACCCCAGTTGCAGGTTCCCCAGCCACGGGAGGCAGCCAACCAATGTGTCTCTCTCATGTCGATGTTTCTTTGTCTCTCGCTCCCTGCCCTCCTCCCTCCTTTCCATTCTCTCTAGAAATCGATGGAAAAAAATATCCTTGGGTGAGGATTAAAAATTTTAAAAAAATTAAAAGGCTGAGAAGCAGGGGTGTTGGTGGGGATGAGGACACATATGTAATACCTTAATCAATAAAGAAAAATAAACAAAACAAACAAAAAAAAGGCTGAGAAGCAGAGAGAGGCAGGGCTGAGAGAGTGCTAGACTCACAGCAGTAAAAGCCCAAAGAGGCAGAACACTCAACACGTTCCCAGACCCTTCCGCATCCTTCCTAACCTCACTTGATATTGTTCAGCTTTTTCCTTAGGCGAGGCAGAACTGACCTGACCAAGTTGTCCAATGGAGAACTTGAGTCCCAGAGAGGAGCAATGACTTATTCAAGATCACACCCAGGACTAGGAGTCAGATGCCCAAAATTCCTTCCGCTGTGCCACACAGAAAGACAGTCTGAGAGAGACACAGTGCGAAGGAGAGGGAGAGGGAGAAGGAGAGAACAGGGAGGCATGGAGCTAGAGGTTGACATGAAAGACCCACGAGCAGAGAAATCTTCCTCGTGATCTCCAAGGGACCCCACGGAACAGGCTTGGCCTCCTGGAACCCTCCAACCTCTCATTTCCCCTGTGTGCTGATCAGAGTGGCAGCTTCCTCATTCCTGACCCCCAGGCGAGCCGGGTTCTAGAGGGAAGAGAAGGATCAAAGCCCCTTATATAGGATAAGGCAGCATTTGACAGTTTCCAAACTCATAATCATTGGACTTCACAGCAGGGAATACCCATAAAGATGATCTCCCATCCCCCTTTCTATAGATGGGAGATCAAGGCCTAGAGACAAGTGACTTTGCAGAAGGCCACAGCAACTCAGTCATAGGAATCTAGATTTTCTTACCAGGGCATACAAGAGAGGGGTCTTACCTTCCCCTGCTTGAACCTTCATAAAGGGTGTCCCAAAATTCACGCAAGAAGTAATTTTGATAGAAAATACAGGTTTATAATTAAAAATTGTAAATTTTGTATTGATTCATAAAGTATACAGTATAGGGTTATGTATGGAATAGCATATCAGGTAAATGGCCTCCACGGCTTTGCTGGCACATACACATTCTTTTGTTATTGCCTGAGCAGCCGCATTTTCGAAGAAGGATGGTCCAATGATGCCTCCAGCCCAAAATCTGCACCAAACAGTGACACGTTGTGGATGAATTTGTTTCTCAACAATCACTCGTGGATTTTCTGAATCCCAAATGTGACAATTTTGTTGATTAACCAAGCCATCAAGATGAAAAGCCCAAAGAGGCAGAACACTCAACACGTTCCCAGACCCTTCCGCATCCTTCCTAACCTCACTTGATATTGTTCAGCTTTTTCCTTAGGCGAGGCAGAACTGACCTGACCTCATCGAAATTCAGCCACATTTATGCAAAATGGTCATGAAAAATTACAACAAAAGAGTGCATATGTGCCAGCAAAGCCGTGGAGGCCATTTACCTGATATGCTATTGCATACATAACCCTATACTGTTTACTTTATGAATCAATACAAAATTTACAATTTTTAATTATAAACCTGTATTTTCTATCAAAATTACTTCTTGCGTGAATTTTGGGACACCCTTTATAAGCTCCCTGCAAAGAGCTGTGGGGTCCAGGAGACTTGATATGCATTCCAGGTTTGCTGAGACTCAATCAGTGGCTATAGGACTCCTCCTATTGAGTAAGTTCCACAAGTGCAAGGTATTTTTATTTGTTAGGCCCTGATGTATCTCCTGCCCCTAGAACAGTGTCTATCCCATAGTAAGTGCCCAATAAATAACTATTGAATGAACGTCTAGGGGCCAGGGTTAGAGAAGTGTCACTATGAGGGTCTGAAGCCTAATAGAGAAAACCAAGGAACATGAGCTTTACCCTCAGACACATGAACGGCTAAAATCCTGTCCACAGATATTTACTGAGGGCCCGTTAGGTAGGGAACCAGGTGCTGGGAACTCAGATAAAAAAAGATAGTCATGCCCTGACTTCAAGAGCTCACAGTCAACTATGATGTGGAATATGTGCAGATTTTTGGTATGTGGGTGGTGGTGGTGGGGGGGGGGTCCTGGAGGGTAGAGCCAGGTGCAAGGCAAACTGCTCAGTATAATACAGACACTTTTCTCAGCCTGAGCTAACCTGAAATGGTCTGGCTGCTCATAAGGTGGTGAGTGCGGTGGGACTGCAGTGCCCAAGCAGGGCGCCAGCCGCCCACCTGTCGTCAAAGGCTGCGCCAGGACGATGCGGGGAAAAGAGATTTCTGCTTGGGTGAGGTCACTTCCCACCCCCAGATTCTCTGCCTTCAAAATCCTGCAATTCTGACGCTGGATCTTATTATTTTCTGAATTTCAAGGTCCCATGATGCTGACAGCTCCAAATTCTAAGTCTTCAGTCTGCCCACGCCTCTGGACCAAAAGAAATAGAGCCGAATTCATCAAGGGTCCTACGACCTACTGCTTCAAAAGGTCTCTGGAGTTAGTTAGCGCCCCCTCCCCGCCTCGTGGGAGCTGGAGGGGCGCAGCTCGAGCTGTCGTGGGGACATGGGTGTTCCAGAGACGGGGTTGACAGAAGCCGGGGCACGTGACAGCCAAAACGTCACGTTCTGTGGTCTGGGACCCGACCGGTCACGTGACGCGGGGGTGCACCGTGGGGTGATGTGAGATGCAGGGCCTCTCAGATTACGTACAAACGAGGCATTTCCACCCGGTTTGGCAACACGATTGCCTTGGGAAGACAGTTCCGGTAAAGGGGGTGGGCTCTCACATCCTGGCAATTTTGCTTCCGGTCGGGGCACTGCAGCTTCCGACCTTCGCTTCTCCCTCCCACGGGAAGGAGACGCAACCCCGTGCGCATGCCCCGAATCATCCAAAAGAGGGTGGGGCCTAGGCTGCGGGAGCGGGAGGGGGGGAAAGAAAAGGGAATTCCAACCTGTGGAATCCTGGAGGTCCCCGTGGGCAGCACCATCCCATTGACTGTGGATGGTGTCAGGAACAGAGCCTCTGGCGGCTCGTGGGGGGGTTTGGGGGCCCGCAGGGTGAAGGCGGAGGGGAGTGTCGGGTGTGAGGGCAGTACGGGAGTTCCAAACTTAGAATCTTGAGGCCCTCAGGGCTCAGGTGCGGGGAGAGGGAGCTCGGGCCGCCATGCGGGACAGGACCCAAGAGCTGAGGCAGGTGAGAAGTCGGGGCAGCAGGGTTGGGACGGGAGGACGGGGTGGGGTTTGGCCGGAATGCAGGATTCCTGGTCTTCGGGGCAGGGAGGGGTGGCTGAGGGCGAGGAAGGAAAGACCCGGAAGCCCGTGAGTCCTGCGGGTTGAGCCACAGCAAGGAAGTGATGCCAATGACCCCGGCCCTGGCAGGGGGATGACAGCTCGGACGATGAGGACAGGGAGCGGGTCGCGCTGGTGGTTCACCCGGGCACGGCACGGCTGGGCAGCCCGGACGATGAGTTCTTCCAGAAGGTATGAGCCTGGGGTCTCTGCCTGGATTCCCGAGGGGCTGGAGGACCCGAGGAGCAGCGCGGTCTGGAGGGCCTTCGCATCTCCTTCAGCCCTCTCGGTCACCCTCCCCAGGTCCGGACAATTCGGCAGACCATTGTCAAGCTGGAGAATAAAGTCCGAGAGTTGGAGAAACAGCAGGTTACCATCCTGGCCACGCCCCTTCCTGAGGATAGTGAGTGAAAACCTGGGTGCAGAACGCATGCTCAACCAGAGGCATTTTGGGTATTGTAGTTCCACGCAGGTGGTGGCAAGGGTGATTTGTTGAGGTAGGGACTGCTTTCTTTTTTCAGGCATGAAGCAGGACCTGCAGAACCTGCGCGAAGAGATCAAACAGCTGGGGAGGGAGATCCGCGGGCAGCTAAAGGGTGAGCTCCTGGGACCTGAGACAGATCCTTCCCGCTGGTCCTGCCCAGCTCCTGACATTTCTGGGGAGTTTGTGGCCCAGAGAGGCCGAGTGATCTATCCAGGTCACACAGCAGTCTAGAATCTCCGTCTCCGTGTTCCCGCCCATAGCACTTTCCACAGCACATGCCTGCCTCTCGGTTCTTTTATTTACTATGAAACCATTTACTCCTAAAATTCTTGCCGCCCAGTGTGCATTCTTTGGGCAGGCATTTGGGGTTTTGTTAGGAGGCCTCTGCATCCTTCTTGGAATTAGCTGATGTATGTATTGCAAAGAAAAAATATGCTTTCCCCTGTCAGAGACTTAGAATTAGTCATTTAATGATAGATTATTATTTCCCCCCAAAATCGTATGGATATAAGCATCTCTCTGTAGTGTGGCTTGGGTATGACACTGGCCCTGCGTCCTGATCCCCAAACAATTTTCAGAAGCCACAGGTCACCCTCCGTCCCCCACAATACCCTTGTGTCTTCCCACAGCCATTGAGCCCCAGAAGGAGGAAGCTGATGAGAATTATAATTCAGTCAACACAAGAATGAGAAAAACGCAGGTGGGTTTGTTATTCCCAGAACTAGAACATTTCAGCAAGTGTTTTATAGAAGTAAGAGGGAAGGGACTTGGAGATCAGTAAGTCCAACCTAATGATTTTCCAAATGGGGAAACTGAGGCTGGGAGAGAGAAAGGACTCACCCAACATCAAGAATTCCCAATCCATTATAACACCCTGCCTTTTTCTTCATTCAATGAGAAGTTGCTGAGTCCCCAGATCTGACCTGGGCACAGCTATGGGAGACGTGCTTTCTAGGAGCCAAGATGGGAAGTTAAGCTTGAATAGGTGAGGAAGACATTACTGAGGTAGGACTTGTTCGCTAATGGCTCTGTCCGAGGAAGAAAAAGGAGCAGTGATAAATGACTGTGAGGTTTCCTGCCCAGATCGGGGGACAGCCTCTGCCCTGTGGGCAGAATTCAAGAAGTCAGGAAGTGGAACTTCCCTGGAGGGAAGGTCACCTAATCAACATCTTAGGAAGATTTGAGGTGATCTGATTGGTCCCTTCTGGGTGCCCAGTGAGGAATGGTTTGCAGTTCTTGGAGGTCAGAGCTGGAGTGAGTGGGCCCAGAGCTCAGCAGGGCCGAGACTGAAGGTGGAGCGGTTTGGGCATCTCGAAAGGGTGCTGAAGCCAGGAGAGCAGGTGTGTCTCTGAGGAAGGTACTCCAAGGACTAAGGATCAGGGAAATGGACAAGGTGAGAGGGCATTGCAAGGGGAGCCTGTGTGGTCATCAGCGTAAGAGGCTGAGGGCCCAGCTGGACCTGTAAACCTGGGCAACAGACTGAACGCCAGGCTTTACCAGCACACACCCCAAGTGTAAGCAGTGAGGCTGGTGTCCAGCAAGCATTCGACAAGTATGTATCGAGTGCTAGCTGTTTGGGCTACGGCAATCCAAAGATCCCTACCCTCCTGGAGCTTACATCCCAGTGGGGAGAGACAGTCACCATAATAAAGAAGTACGGTGTTTTAGAACATTGTTATGTATTAAGGAAAAAGGTGCAGGAAGAGAGGGATTGGGAGTGCTGGCAGAGGCAGGTGGCAATTTCAATCAAGTGGAGAAAACTGCATTCCGACGGTAACACTGGAGCAAAGACTTCAAGGCCTTCGTGGGGCATGAGCATTCTAGGCCGAAGGAGCAGTGAGCGCAAAGGCCCAAGGTAGGGTCGTGCTTTGTTCAGGGAGGAGGAAGGAGCCACTGTGGTTGGAGGAAATAAGGGAGGGACAGTGGAAGGAGGTAAGGTCAGAGGGGAGATGGGGGAGAGGCAGGTCATGTAGGCCCTGGTAAGGACTTCGGCTTTTACTTTGAGGGAATGGGGGGGCCTTTCAGGTTGGTAAAGCAGCAGCACCTACACCAGCTCATGCTGTTTGCTCGCTGTCCCGGTGGCGATCCTGAGGCCCAGGCTGGGCAAGGATCCTCGCAGGGAGGCACAGCCTGTGTTCTCCGTCTGCAGCATGGGGTCCTGTCCCAGCAATTCGTGGAGCTCATCAACAAGTGCAACTCGATGCAGTCCGAGTACCGGGAGAAGAATGTGGAGCGGATCCGGAGGCAGCTGAAGATCAGTGAGTTGTGGAGCCTGACCCACAGGGTGGGCTAGCCCGACCCAGCTCTAAACCTGGCCTTTTCCTCCACAGCAAATGCTGGCATGGTGTCTGATGAGGAGCTAGAACAGATGCTGGACAGCGGGCAGAGCGAGGTGTTTGTGTCCAATGTGAGTGGCCACAGCCAGCCTCCCTCTGCTGGGCCTCCCGTCCTCTCCAAGCTCTGGTCCTTTTTGATTGAGGGGATGCTGAGGCCCAGGAGGGAATGGATTTGCATGCCGGGAGTCAGTCAGCAGGGCCCTGGCCCAGTGCTAGACCCAGGGGCTGCCGTAAACCTCAACACGAACTTCTGACCTGCTGCTGGCTTCCCTGTTACCTGTCCCTCCGCTCCTGTCCACTCCCCAGATACTGAAGGACACGCAGGTGACGCGGCAGGCCCTAAATGAGATCTCGGCCCGGCACAGCGAGATCCAGCAGCTTGAACGCAGTATTCGTGAACTTCATGAGATCTTCACTTTTCTGGCTACTGAGGTGGAGATGCAGGTGGGCAGCCCAGGGAGCCGGCTTGACCCAGACCCCAGACGTGAGACCATGTTCAGTCGGACCTCCAGCCGAAACTGTCAGCCCACAGCCACTCTTAGTCTCTCTCCCCCAGGCTTTTGTTCCCCTCCCTTCTGGGCCATGCCCTCAAGGCTGTTCCTGACTTCCATCCTTAGCTGGGCCCCAGAGCTGCAACCACCTCTACAGCTACCCAGATGACCACTTTTCTGTATATAACTTTCCCCACCCCGGCCACCTGACCCCACCCCAGGTACGGCCCCAACCCTGGCTCCTCCACCAATAGAATACACCCTTCTACCTCTAAGAGCTGGAGTCAAAGTTTCCCCCCAGAGGGCCTGTCTCTGAAAATCTGTACAGGGTTGGGGTGGGAAGCGTTATTCCTGCTGTGGCCCTGGTTGTTGGGGTGAGGCGAGCTTCCAGCCTTGTCCTGGAGGAGCTGACCCGCTGGTGCTGCAGCCAACACCCTTCTATCGCTGGGAGTCACGGGAAGGGGTGCCGGGACCTGGAGGCCGGTGATGCATTAGGAGGCAGGGATAGGAAGGGCGGCACAGCTGTTGGGAGATGGACCTAGAACAGTGGTCGGCAAACTGCGGCTCGGCAAACCGCGGCTCGCAAGCCACATGCGGCTCTTTGGCCCCTTGAGTGTGGCTCTTCCACAAAATACCGACTTCTGCGCATGGGCCACGAAGTTTCAAACGCACTGTATGTGGGCGCCGGCACGTGGTATTTTGTGGAAGAGCCACACTCAAGGGGCCAAAGAGCCGCATGTGGCTCGCGAGCCGAGGTTTGCCGACCACGGACCTAGAAGAACGGGCAAAACCAGTCAGTTTTTTGAGGGGACTAAAGTTCGTGCTCTGTGAAAAGCGATGAACTATTTAAGGCTCTTGGCCCCAAGACCCCGCTGCAGTCAGGGTTGTGTGGGTCAAGGGAGCAGAGCAGAAGGCACCACGTGATGGAAGGGGCCTGGAAGGTACCTCAGGAGGGTGAACTGTGGCAGATGTGGTCCCGCCTCCGTGTCTTCCTTAGTGCAGTGTTTTCTGCCAGGAATGTCCTTTGGTGGTTTGGGGCTGGGGTGGGCAGAGTGAGCTACTGGGTCCTACCCCACTCGTCCCCACCTGCCTGAGCTGCCACCTCCTCCGAACAGGGGGAGATGATCAACCGGATTGAGAAGAACATCCTGAGCTCAGCAGACTACGTGGAACGTGGGCAGGAACATGTCAAGAGGGCCCTGGAGAGCCAGAGGAAGGCCCGGAAGGTGAGCCTCCTCGGGGGGGCCCCCCCCTCCCCGGGGTGAGTTTCCCTGACTCCTCCCTCCCCCACAGAAGAAAGTGTTGATCGCCATCTGTGTGTCCGTCTTTGTCCTCATCCTGGTAGTCGTCATCGCCGTCTCGGTCACGACCTAATAGCATCGTGCGTTCTCGGTGAGATATTGTGGGCCTGCCCACCGGCCTGCCCCGTCCCGGGCCCCAGCCCCTCCTCCTCCCCTCAGACCCGCTTCTCCCTCCTTCCCTTGCAGGCGCTCAGAGCCCGGGACCCAGGTGTGCCTTCTCTGCCAGCAGCTGGGGCGGGGGCAGCACAGACCCTGCCGCCAGACCCCCTTCCTCACACCGGCCTGTGCAGAGGGGCCGATGGCTCTCCTGGGGTTGGCAGCCACCTGTTCATGGGGGCCTCCCCCTGGGGCCACAGTGGCTGGCGGAGGGCCTGCACTGTCCTGTTTGGATGGGACACATGGTTTTGTAAGAAATTAAAACACACACAAAAAAGGTTGAGACTCCCCTGTGCATGTGTGTTCCTGGAAGGGCTGGCCCAGGGCCTCCAAGTGTCCAGCCTTCCCACCTCCTGGCCGTGCTGCCCGGCCAGGCCTCCGCAGGCTTCAGTCAGGTTGTTCCAGGCACCGTGACTCCAGCAGGCCGGCCTTTCACCTCCCACAGGAACACGTGGGGCCGGGAGGCCTGACACCCACTTCTGGCTCAGTACTGTCGCTGGGGAAAGGCCACTGTGGGTCCCTAACCCTGAGCGGTGGGCCAGACCAGGCTGGGATGCAGGTGAGATGTGTGTGGATGGGGAGGGGTCATCGGTGGGCCATTGTGAGTAACAGGCTGTTTCTTTGGATACAGTGGACAGGGACGGGCCAGACTCAGATTTGCCATTTGAGTGGCGTTAAATGAGGAGCCAGTAAAGGGAGAGCTTGCCAGGCAGTGTCCCACAGGCCAGACCCTGTGCCCCAAAAAAGCCTTGCCTTTTACATAAGAGTTCAGCTGGAGAGCCAGCGACTCCGGATCAGCACACGCTATTTCTAGGGGGTTATGTGGCTAGAGCAGGCAGAGGAGGCCAGGAGCCTGATTTTTATGAGGCACAGGTCCCAACTCTAAACTTCTAAGCGTTTCAAGTACAGGTGCCTCGTTTCTGGAGCTGGGTTGGCACCTGCCTCCAGACACCTGGCTTTAGGGCTGAGGCAGCACCTGACCCCTCCAAGATCTCCGGGTGGTTCTGGCCGCCTGTCCCATCCCACTTCTGATCCACAGGCTGCTGCTGCTCTTGGCTGCCCAACCTGTCCAGCCGCAGCATCTCTTGCTTCTGCCACCGAGTGGGGGCACACCTGTGGATGCTGTGGTGACCCCGTGGTGGAAGGGCTCCATGTGATGTCCTTGGTGTGGTCCCAGGCCTCTTTGACCTGGACTGGGGGAGGGGCCAGAAGGTGGGATTGGACCCCAGATACACAGCCCCTGCTTTCGCTGCCTCCATTTGTGGCTGGGCATCCTGGGGCGCCTTGGGGTGGCCCTGGAGCGGCGGTGAGCCTGTGCTGGGGGGAGTGTGCATACTTGGCCCTGAGTGTATGCAGCGTGGTTGAGATGGTGGCTGCGACTGGAAAACGTTGGCGAGTGGCCCTAAATGCTGTTCCCGAGAAGCACTGGGCTTGGTCTGTAGGTCGTCCTGGCGGACTGAGCACCCCGGTATTAAACAGCATTTTTAGATGGAGAATGTTGATATGGGTGGGGCCTCAGAGCAAGTCCACTGTTGCACCCAAAAGTGATTGGTTCACAGAGCGCAAGGGGCATGATCAAACCTGCGAAAGAGGCGGAAAGAAGATCATGAGCTTGTGAGAGACGCAGGGAAGGGGACTCACGGGAGAAGGCCGGGCTGGGTTCCGCTCCCGAGCTGCTGAACTTGCACCTGCGCACGTCTGGGAGGGGACTCACGCCCTCGTCTTGCTGGAGATGGTGCACCCTGTGCGCAGATGACACCTACGGAAAGGGCTCATTCTCAGCGGTGTGCAATCAGTTTGACGTCTACCCCGTGGAGAAGCTGCCGGCCGCCAGGTTCTGTCCCAGCAGAAGACCGACTTGGACACGGGGCCTCTGGGCTTCCCTGATTCTCCATCTCTTCCCGGCAGCTTGGATCTTCAGCAGAATCCTGTCCTGTTCATCTTCTACTCCCTCACCTTTCTGCCTTCAGAATAAAACGGCACCGCCTGTGACATCTACCGGGATCTGCTAGAGACTGCCGGGCCGATGCAGAGATTATGCCACACCTGTGCAGCCGGGTGTCCGTGTGTGCTACCTGACTTCTGTCTGGCCATGCTGGACAGCGCCACCCCTAAAAGGCTGCTTACCTGCCTCACTCAGGAAGCTGTCTAGAACCTCCTGGAAGAGGTGGCTAGATGGTTAGGTTGAGGGCTTGGATGCCAGGCTCATTAGTTTGAACTTCTCCTGTGGACTCGGGGGCCCTGGAAGGTTTTGAACAGGAAGCAGCAAGTCTGAGCAGACCTAGCAGACAAAGGGGCACACGCACTGGAGGTTTCACAGGCCCTTGTGCGTTCCTCGGCCTGTGGGATGCTGGCCTGAGTGAGGCGTAAGGGCAGGTGTGCACTGAAATCCTGGCGTGGCTGCTGTCAGCCCAAGTTTCAGAAATCAGGGTCTCGGTTAGTTGTGGTTCCTCCAAATCCATCTTGCATCGCGAGCTTTCAGCTGCATCTCTCTCTGCTAGCTGCCTCGTTCATTCAGCGTTTTATGGCTCAATGCCTCAGCAAAGGAACCTGATGGTCTAGGTCAGGCTGCATTGGCCTGCCTGTAATTTGTCTATCTTCAGTCAAGATTTCATCCTTGACCAAGATACATGTGAGGTTATGTGATACGAGATGCCATAACAGAGTGTATAAGAAGGAGTAGATGAACTCAATGACTGGCATTTCTGTACAACCCCGTGGTCGAGTGCATTATTCCAAATACTTACTGTCATTCCCGTGGGGCCCCTCCCTACAGAACTTTACATTCATGCCCCACTTACAACAGGCTTGGCTCTCTGATTTGGTTTGGCCAATGGGATGTGAGTAGAAATGTAAATAGAAGCTTTAAGCACCAACGAGTAGTCTAGTAGCTTCCCTTCTCTTTTCCCTCTGCCATGAGCCTGGCAATTGCCAGATCAAGACTTCTTCAGCCTGGAACTCAGAATTAAGGTGCCATGAAGATGAGCTGTAGCCTACCTGTAAAATGACGTGTCATGTAAATGAGAAGTAAACTTCTTTTGCTGTGAGCCACTGATACTTGGAGATTGGTTGTTACCACATCATAATGAGTCTAAATCAACTGTTAGAGAACTAGTACCCAGAAGTGGGGAGCTGTTATAATAAAAAATAAACCTGAATTCTGCGACTTTGATCTTGGAGCTGGACAGTGGCTGGTGAGGAAACTATCATTGGAAGTTGGAAAGATGATGATGGGTGTTATGCAGTGATGAAGCACTTGGTTAAACTATAAGCTGGAAATAAGTAAGAATATAAATTCTATCCAAATGAGCTTGGGGCCTTAGGCAAAACTTTGGGAAAGAGACTATTAGTAGCATGCATTAGTTGCTATTGGGTACAGTTGATAAGTTACTATAATAAAGAGTTGGCTCAGAAAATAATTGGCCAGTTTTTAAGGAGAAATGGAAGAGAGTATAGAAACTCCAGGCAAATGATCCACATTTGAACCAGTGAAAGATAAAACTGACAAGACTCTTAAGCCACAAAAAAAAAGTTTGATTAAAACTCATCTTTGTGACAAGGGCCATATCAAGTGTATGGCTCTCGTGCCCTTAATGAAAACCTCCGAATCAGCCGGCCAGTGTGGCTCAGTGATGGATCATCGACCCGTGAACCAGGAGGTCACCGTTCCTGGTGAAGGATGGGTTGCAGGCTCAATCCCCATTAGGGGCCGTGCAGGGGGCAGCTCATCGATGATTCTCATCATTGATGTTTCTCTCCCTTGCCTTTCCTCTCTGAAATCAATAAAAAAATATTTTAAATGATAATAATAAATAAAAGGAGGAATGTCTGAAAAGAAATGTAAGTTTAGCTGTTGGCCCATTGAGTTGACAGGAATCAAACAGGTAAGAAGCCTTCTACCTTCTAAGAAAGCCACTAGCTTGGATTTTAAAAGACCAGGAGTGGCTCTTTCCATCATCTTTCGAGCCACCATAATAGTGCGTGTGAGTGTCCTGGCTGATGCTCTCAAGGGTATCGTGCTCGATCCACTCTGACTGCTTCCGTCTAAGAAGAGAAAATTTGGACACATGAAGAGAAACCAGAGGTGCACACCAACAGGGACAGACACGAAGAGGCCATGAGGGCAACCGTCTGCAAACCAAAAAAGACACATTGAGGACACCTTGGTCTTGGACCTCTAGCCTCCAGAACTGCAAGAAAGTACATGTTTGTTTCTTAAATTAAAAAAAAAAAGGTATTGTGCTCGCTTTGGCAGCACATATACTAAAATTGTAACAATACAGACAAGGTTTGTCCTGACTGGTTTGGCTCAGTGGATAGAGCGTCGGCCTGCAGACTGAAGGGTCCCAGGTTCGATTCTGGTCAAGGGCATGTACCTTGGTTGCAGGCACATCCCCAGTGGGGGACGTGCAGGAGGCAGCTGGTCGATGTTTCTCTTTTGTCAATGTTTCTAACTCTCTATCCCTCTCCCTTCCTCTCTGTAAAAAATCAAAATATATTTTTTAAAAAAGTTTTAAAAGAACTATATTTTTAAAAAAAACAATACAGAGAAGGTTAGCATGTCCTCTGTGCAAGGATGACATGCAAATTTGTGAAATGTTAAAAAACAACAACAGAGTATCAACAATGCTGAAAAGAAAGGCAAACATCTGGTTCTTATTAGGCTGTGCTCCAAAGTCATCATCTGGTGACTTTGGTGAACTTGAAATTATTGATGACCACAGAGCTGGGAAAACTGTGAACCTCACAGGCAGGTTAGAGAAGTGTGGAGTAATCAGTCCCAGGTTTGATGTGCAACTCAAAGTCTAGAAAAATGGCCGAACAACCTGCTCCTGTCCCGTCAGTTTGGTTTCATTGTACTGACAACCTCAGCCGGCATCACGGGCCATGAAGCCCGATGAACACGCACAGGAGGGAAAATCCTGGGATTCTTCTTCTAGGGATGTGATACCTACATTCAAATAAAATGCCTCAGTGGGGAGAAATATGACGATGAGTGTTCAAGACTACATATAACCTTGAGTGCTCCCAAATTTCTAGGAGCAAGAAGGAGACCAAGGCTCTAACCGGTTTGGCTCAGTGGATAGAGCGTCGGCCTGCGGACTGAAAGGTCCCAGGTTCGATTCCGGTCAAGGGCATGTACCTTGGTTGCAGGCACATCCCCAGAAGGGGGTGTGCAGGAGGCAGCTCATCTTTGTTTCTCTCTTATTGATGTTTCTAACTCTCTATCCTTCTCCCTTCCTCTCTGTAAAAAATCAATAAAATGTATTTTTTTAAA